CAGTTCTACTCTGTCCTGCAGGGTTGTTATGAGTTGGAATTGACTCGATGGCAACGAGTAAGGTAAGGTACCTGTGAAGGAGCCCTGGTGGCACAGTGGTTAAGCGGTCGGCTGCTAACAGAAAAGTCAGCATTTCGAACCCACCAGCTGCTCTGCAGGAGAAAGGTGGTGGCAATGTGCTTCCATAAAGATTCCGAAATCAAACCCACTTGAGGATTATGCTCTTTGAAGAACTGTCTACATGGGATCAAAGTGACAACAGCAACTGGAAAGATTAGACAGGAACCTTAGGGGGTGGTAAGTTTGTATTAATGGGAGGAACAACTCAGAAAAGGAGGGTGAGAGTGGTCGCACAACGTGAAGAACGTCATCAGTGTTACTGAACTGTACATGTAGAAACCGTTGCTGTATGTACTGCTGTGTATATTCTCAACAATAACAACTAAGCAACCCAAACCCACTGCCATCAAGTCCGTTCTGACACAGTGACCCAAAGGCTGTAACTGTTACAGAAGCAGACTGTCACATCTTTCTCCCGTGTTGCAGCTGGTAGATTTGAACCCCCAACCTTCCAGTAAGTAGCCAAGTACTTAACCATTGTGCCACCAGGGTTCCTTCCCTTGGAAACTCTATGGCGCAGTTCTACTCTGTCCTATAGGGTTGCTAGGAGTCGGATGTTTTACACAGAAACGGTGGGGTTCACCATTCCTGGGTGTGGGTCTCGGTGTTCATGAGGCAACTGAACTATCCCAGAGGGACCACATTTCCGTGGTGGAGTCACAATAAGGGTTACACTGGGTATGGACAGGTTTCCACAAACCACAGGAGGTCACGCTGCCCAGGGAACATTCTCATCAGGGACTCACATTGTCTGTGGACGATTCACACTCTCGGGACGCACGCCCACTGTCTGTGGTTGTGTTCATATAACAGTGGGATTGAGCTGCCCGACTGCCAACCGGGCCGGGTGGGATTATGCTATTAATAGGCAGCTGGTGGCACAGTGGTTAAGTGCTACAGCTGCTAACCAAAAGGTTGGCAGTTCGAATCCACCAGCCGCTCCTTGGAAATGCTATGGGCCAGTTCTATTCTGTCCTATAGGGTCGCTATGAGTTGAAATCAACTTGACGCCAATGGGTTCACGCTGTCGGTGCTGTGTGCATTGTTTACAGTTGGTTGGAGTCTGCAGGATGAGGGGTGCTCACATTGTCCATCGTGTATATAGTTCACTCTGCTAATAATTATAACCAGCATGTACTGCGTACTTACTTCACATCCCTGATTTCTCACAATAACCCTATCATGTGGGCTCTGTTAATGTTCCCATTTTATAGATGGGGAAAGCTGAGGCTCAAAGAGGTGAACTCGCTTACCCGTGTTACAGATAGGAAGTAGCAGAGCTGTTACAGACCACTGGGACTGTTACAGACCTATTATCTATGAAACTTCTATCTTGTTTTGGGGAAAATAAGGAGGTGGTAAAGCATAATGACTGTACAAAGGCATTTGACTGTGTGGATCATAACAAATTATGGATAACGTGAAGAATGGGAACTCCAGAACACTTAATTGTGCTCATGTGGAACCTGTACATAGACCAAGAGGCAGTCGTTCAAACAGAACAAGGGGATATGGTGTGGTTTAAAATCAGGAAAGGTGTGCGTTAGGGTTGTATCCTTTCACTATAGTTATTCAGTCTGTATGCTGAGCAAATAATCCAAGAAGCTGGACTATAGGAAGAATGAGGCATCAAGATTGGAGGAAGACTTACTAAGAACCTGCGTTACGCAGATGACACAACCTTGCTTGCTGAAAGCAAAAAGGACTTGAAGCACTTACAAAGGAAGGTCAAAGACTACAGCCTTCAGTATGGAAACATAAACAAAGCAAAAATCCTCACAACTGGACCAATAAGCAACATCATGATAAACGAAGAAAAGATTGAAGTCATCAAGGATTTCATTTTACTTGATTCGCAATCAACGCCCATGGAAGGAGTAGTCAGGAAATCAAACAACATATTGCATTAGGCAAATCTGCTGCAAAAGACCTTTAAAGTGTTAAAAAGCAAAGATGTCACTTTGAGGACTAAAGCGTTCCTGACCCAAGCCATGGTATTTTTAATCGTCTCATATGCAAGCTAAGGCTGGACAATGAATAAGGAATACCGAAGAAGAACTGATAACTTTGAATTATGCTGTTGGTGGAGAATACTTAATATACCATAGACTGCCAGAAAAACGAACAAATCTGTCTTGAAAGAAGGAAAGCTCCTTAGAAGCGAGGATGGCAAGAGTTCGTCTCATGTGTCATGTACTTTGGACATGTCATCAGGACGGACCAGTCCCTGGAGAAGGACATCATGCTTGGTAAAGTAGAGGGTCAGCAAAAAAAGAGGAAGACCCTTGAGGAGCTGGATTGACACAGTGGCTGCAACAATGGGCTGAAGGACAGCAATGATTGTGAGGATGGTGCAGGACTGGATAGTGTTTCGTTCTGTTGTACACAGGGTGGCTATGATATGGAAATGACTCGACAGCACCTAACAACAACAACAAAGCATAAGAGCAAGTCCCTGGGTGGCACAAATGGTTTGCATTTGTCTACAACAACAACACTAACTGAAATGTTGGCAGTTTGAACCACCCAGGGGCACTGTGGAAGAAAGTCCTGGCAATCTGATTCTGTTAAGATTACAGCCGAGAAAACTCTATGGAGCAATTCTACAGTGTAACACATGGAGTTGCCATGAGTCAGAATCAACTCAAGGGCAACAGGTTTGGTTTTGGTTTTTAAAGCATAATGGTTAATAGTGTTGGTTTGGAATTAGATGGATCTGGGTTAGAATCCCGGCTCCAGTACTTCCTAGCTGTATGAGTTTGGCAGACTGATTTACCCTCTCAGAGCCTCATTTTCTGTAAATTGGGATAAAAACAAACAAATCCATTGCCGTCAAGTTGATTCTGACCCATAGCAACCATATAAATGGGGATAAGGATAGTAATTCCCCTCATTGGGATTTGTGAGGATTAAGTAAAATGCCCCCGACAGTGCTTGGCCCAGTGCACCTGGCACTTCATGAATTCTCCGAATTCAGGAGCGGTTATGATCACAATGATGATGATGATGATTGCAGGACCACGCTGCTCCCAGAGGGTTACAATATCCGTGGGGGAGCTGCACTGTCCGTAGGCAAAGTTACATAATTCCCCAGGGGGGTGACGCTTCCCTGGAGGCCTGGGTGTCTCCAAAGAGGAGGCCTGAGACTTGCTGAGGCTCTACTGAGGGCTGGTCTATGTGATGGAGGCTGAGCTTGAAGCCCTAAGAACCCAGGCCTTCCCTCCCTGTGGCCTATCTTTCCCTGCCCATCTTCTGGACTTCAGTACTCTCAGAACACCCCCGCCCCCCAATACTCCCCTTCTTTGGTACTTCAGAGTCTTTTTTGAGGCTCGGGCTGTGAATATTGCTATTTGCTCTCACCCTGCTGCCAGCTCCCAGCCTCCATCTGATCTGTGTGCTCTGATTTCCTGTTTCCCGGAGCATCAGCCTCTATCCATCCCTCCTGGCCACGAGAGAGCGGACTTAACACTTTTCTGTGCTCTGGCCTTCATCCTTAAGCCCTGCCTTCCTCTGTCCTGGCGACCCCCCAGTGCCCCGTGGGAGCACACTTGTTCAGACTTTGGTCGCCCCCTCGCATCCTGGCCCCACCTCCGGAACCCCCTGCCCCAGTGGTGGAGGTGGAGGTACCTCCGGCGCCAGCCGTCTCCCCAGGACAGCTGCAGCTTGGGGATGGGGGGGGCTCCCGAATGCATTCTTTCTGGTCACTTCCTCCCCAGCTGGGACTGGGGCTATCAGGAAAGCCAAGACCCCATCCCCAAATGAGCGGAGGGCACAGCCGCCTCCCCTTTTCCGATGCTGGGAAATGCTTCCCACCCATTCCACCCCACCCCTAGACAGCTGCCCCCACTCAGGCTCAGGGTTGGGGGCCAGAGTGAGGCCAAGCGGGGAAACACAGAGATCTTGATCACCCTCCAAGGCCCTGACCCCGCCTCCCTGCAGAGAAGATTCTGCCTCATTCCAAAATGTCCACGGCCCCTCCCCATAAAAGTTTCTGACCCCACTTAGAAGGTATCCCCCACCTCTTACGAGCCCCCAAAAGAAACTCTGGATCCCGCGTAGGCAGGAGGGGCAGCAGGTCGCGAGCTCCGAGGACTTAAGTTATCTGCAGACTTGGAGCCTCGGAGAAGGGTCATGACCCCCGGGACCCTATCCCACCCCCGTCCCCTCCTTCCTCCCTCCCCCGCCGCGCGGCCCCTTTAAGCCCACAGCCGGCCGGTCCTCAGTGGCTGCTTGCTGGCTAGTGTATGTGTGAGTGCGCGAGGAGGGGGCGGGCGCAGTGTCGCCATGGCGACGCGGCGGTGACGTCGCCGGCCGGGGGGCGTGGGCGTCCCGGCCCCGGAGTGCGATATTAACCCGGGAGGCGGTGGCGGGGAGGGGAGAGGCTCTGAGAGGCGAGGCCGGGTGAGGCGGCGAGGGCGGCCCGACGGGCGCGGGACGGGAGGGGGCAGCGCGGGCGCCGGGAGCTGCGGCCCGGAGTCGGGGCGCCTCGCCCCGGGCCCCCAAGCATGAAGACCCCGGCGGACACAGGTGGGGGCGGGGGCAGCACGTGTGGAGGAGACTTGTTGCCCCGGGAGACCGGGCGGAGAAACTTTGGGGGGGGCTTAAGGCGTCTAGGGGAGCCCGAGTGGTCCTCAGTTCTGGGGGACCCCCAGCACGCCAGACTTGTTGCTTCTTGCGGCGCGAGCGGGGGGTGTTGCCTGGGACCCCCAGTTCCTGGGTGAATGGTGTGGGTGCTGCGGATCCTGGTCCTCTCTCACTTCCCGGACCCCGCAAGCTGGGCTCTCCCTCACTCCCGGGATCACGGGGGTGACGGGGTCCTTCCTTCTCGCCACTGTCACGTTGCACTCTGGGGGCCGGGACGTGTGCTGTGTCGGGGGGGGGCTGTTCACAGGGCCTGCTATCCCCAGTCCCTCGCTGAACGGTCCGGCCCGTGACCTTCACGGCGGCGCGTGCCCCGCACCGGGTTTAGGGGGATATGGAATTCCTCTAGGAGGAGGGCGTGAGTGGGGGGCGCGGGACTCGGGGTCCGGGTTGCGCCGCCCCTCCCCCGCCCGTCTCCGCCGGCTCCGCGCTCCCCCGCCCGCGCGGAGTCGCAAAGTTCCAAAGCTCAGCCCGAACGTTCGAAAAAGGAACTTTTTGTTTCCGACCTTAGAACGCGCGGCTTTAAGGTGGTTCTGGGAGAGAGCTGGGTATCCTCCTCCCTCGCCGCCGGGGGCCCGAGGTTGAGGAGGGTGGGGGGAGACGCGGAGGCTCCCCCCCTCGCCCCCCTCCCGTATCCATCGCTTCTCCTTCGGCGGCCCGTCTTTTCTCTCCGCCCCTCTCTTCCCCGCCAACTTGCTCCTCCTTAAGGGGGCCAAGGTTCCCCTCCCCCCTCAGTCGACGGGCGGGGGGCAGCGGGATTAACCCCCCTCCCACTCGGACTTTCCTCCTTCCCCTCCCCCGCCGCCTCTAGGCTCGCGCGAGCTGGACTTTGCGCTGGAGCCCGCGGGGGGGAGGGGTCCCAGCCGCCCCCTGCCCGTCTACCCCGTCGGAATCCGGCCTGGGGCGGGGACGGGGGAGGGGGAATGGGTCGGGCGCCGCTGTTCAAACTTGTTTCCTTCCCCCGGCGGCGGCCGCGACTAGGGCTCCTGTGTGCGGGTGTGTGCCCCGACCGGCCCTCGCACCCCCCCCGCTCGGCGGGTGGGGGCGGCTCTTAAAGGGCTCCAGGCCCGGCTCCGGCGCCTGGGGATTGGGACGGGAGGAGGGGGGCTGGGGGTGGGGCAGGGGTGCGGAGTTCAGTAGGGTCAGTCACTTGCGTCCCACTTATTCCCCGGCTCCCACAAGCTCCCGGGCCGCTGGGCCCTGGGGGCAGCAGGAGCCTCCCCTCGCCCGAGGAAGGGGCCGAGGCGCTCAGACAACCCCGCCTCGTTTTTCCCTCCCCGCTACGGGCCTTCGCCTGGTGGGACCGGCTGGGCCACTCCCCCAACCCTGTCTAGGGGCCGAGCCGTGTGTGGGCTCCCAGGCTGGGGGAGAGGGCGGGGGTCTGGAGTGATCCCCGGATCGGTTTGTCGGTTTGTCTGCTTCCTGGCCGGCCGCTGTGCACCCCTGCATCCGAGCTTCCATCCCGGCCCCTCTCTCCACTGCCGCGGCTGTTTCCCACTTCCTGTTTTCTTCCCGGCTCTGGCGCCATCGAGGCCTGCCTGGAGTGGGGGAGGTGGTAGGGCCCCCCAGGAGGCTGGCGTGTTCTTCCTCTACCACCACTCCTCCCTTCCGACCCCCCATGGTCCCTTAAAAAAGTTTAGGCAGTCACGTGAAGTTGAGGGTGCCCAGAAGTTCTGCCCCCCCAAGTTTCCATAGTCTGGGAGAATCGCTACCCAGCCTCTGTGGGACCCAGGTGTGCCTTTTGGGACCCTGCCATCCAGGCCTTTCCTGTCTGTCTGCTGCCATCTGCACAGCCTGTCTCCCAGTTTCCTGGATCCTTCTCTGTCGGCTGCTCTCCCCTGCCTCACTGTACCCCGATGCCCCAGAGGTCCTGCACCCCCAAGCTTTCTTGGTGCACGCCCGGGTGTTTTCCTGCATTAGCACGTGGAGCCATACACAACACACTCACACATGCTCCCCTTGCCCGTGCCTGGCTCCTGGCTCCAAGGACTAGGGAACAGAGCCCCATTGAGACACCCTGACGTCACCCCCTCCCCTTCATTCTCTCTACCAAACCCGGGAACAGGCCCTCGTGTATGCTGTGTCCGATGAGGAAAGCCGGTGTTGGGGTGGGTCTGGGAGTGGGGAGGGTCCCTGCCAGGAGTGGGAGCCAGGGTGCCGGCCTTGTGGGGTTGCTCAGGGAGGAGAGTTCACAAGGGGGCCTGGGACAGCTCCCGGAATGCGGCTTGAGGCCTTTCCAGAGGCCCCCCCCCACCTCCTTTCCGAGTTCCCTTTGTGTTGCATGTAGTCTCTCTCACTCCCTCTCTTCTGCAAAGTTTATTTTTAGCCTCCTGCTCCCCCGCTCCCAGGACTGTCGCTGCACACACGTTGCTTGGTTACCGGGACACGGAGGCTGGGGCGGGTGGGATGGGAAGGGTGGCTTTAATTTTGGGGGGAGGGTGGAAGTCAGTACACCCCCTCACCCCAAGACTGATGTCTCAGGGGCTTCAGCCTCCCTCCTGGGTCTGGAAGCCCAGCTGGGGCTGAGGTGGGAGTAGCATGGAGCTTGGGGCCCTGAGGGGGACCAGGAGCTTTTGGGAGGGGGCTGGAAGGTACATGGAGCTGGTGGTTTGGTCATGTGTTTTTGAAGGTCTCTGGGCCAAGGGAGACCTAGGGCCTAGGTTTCTTAACAGGGTGAGGATTTGGGGTGAACACTTCGATTCCCAAGGTGGGGGGATGCTGGCGCCCCTGGAAGGGGTTGTCAGGAACTGTTAACTTCTGAATGGAGCAGGGGCTGCTAATGCAGAAACCTGGGTCTTTGACCAGCTGCAGTCATATCCGTGGAGCCCTGAGGGGTTGGTTTGGGGCTGGGACTTCTGGACGGAGCAGGAACTAGTCTACCCAGGGCCAGGGTCAGGGCCTGCTTCCCTGAGGTGGTTAGAGTAAGGTATGGATTTGGAGGGGGTAGTCCCTGTGGGAAGAGGAACCGCTCTTCCAGTGTTCCCAAAGGAAAGGGTTGGTCCTCTGTTAGATTCCAGACTGGGGTGGAGTCTTTGGAGGAGGCTCACTGTTGCCTGGAGGCCTGGCTGGTACCTGCTTGAACTGAGGCCAAGGGTGGGTGTCTGACCTGTGCAGCCTCATTGGGACTGGGGACCCCAGCTTATCTTTATCTGTCCACCTTGGTCTTTTTTTCTCTAGTGGCACGCCAGGGCCCCTGCCCTGCTTCCCTCCCTCTCTCTCTCCCTTCCTCCCCTTCCCTCCTCCCACCCCTCCATTACCGGCTGCCTAGTGCTGAATTATTGATGGTCCCTGATTACCCCGGGGTTTGGGAAATGACAACAACCGCAGCCCCCCCATCCCGGGCTGCCCACCCTCTCCAGGGACCAGGCAGCCCACCACCAACCTCTAGCCAAGGTTAATGCTGAGGGCGGGCAGGCAGGTGGGCAGGGGAGAAGCTGAGGATGAGCAGGCAGAAGGGGGAAGAGGGCTCCATCGGGTGCCTGTTCAATGTCAAGGCCTTTGCAGGGGGGTGGGTGGTGGCTGCAGGCAGGCTGGGCCCGGATGCCTGGGTCTGGGGAGAGCAGTGTAGCACGGAGGGTCCAGGGCTTGGGGGGGCCGCTCTCAGACAGTCTGGGTTTCACTCTCCAGGGAAGACAGAAGCCTCTGTGTGTGTAAGCGCTGACCTCATCGTCAACCAGCCACCCCACCCCTCCTGGTCCTTTTAAGAAAAAAAAAATTTCTCTCTGGTCTTGGGGTGGGAGTTGGGAGTAGGGGCTCCTGTCAGGTCTTGGAGGGATAGTTATGTTCCTAGGAGGGGACCAGAAGTCCTGGGAGGGGGCAACTGGCCCTGAATGGGAGTGGGATGGGTTCTGGGGGGGCCCGCACCCCAACCCGCCTGGCCACGTGTGTCTGTCGGCCGCCCCTTCCTGCCCCTCCCCCACTGGCAGCCCTGCCCTCCAGCCTGGCTTGGTGCCTGGCCCCCTGGCACTGGCCCCAGGACCCGCCGCCGACGGTTTCCTGTTTCTCCCGGTGTCGCCGGAGCAGGCTCCAGCTTCCCCTCCCCCCAGCTCCCGTCTAGCCCCCCTCACACACAGACACACACTGTCTTTCTCTAACCCAGGTCCTGACTTGGTCACAGGGAGATGGATTTCCCCAGGTCAGGGTAGGAGGTGGACACTGGGGTGGGACCCAGAGTCTGGACTTGGCATCCTGACCTGGGGCCACCCCCCTGCCTCCATCCCCAGGGTTTGCCTTCCCGGACTGGGCCTACAAGCCGGAGTCATCCCCTGGCTCGCGGCAGATCCAGTTGTGGCACTTTATCCTGGAGCTGCTGCGGAAAGAGGAGTACCAGGGCGTCATCGCCTGGCAGGGGGACTACGGGGAGTTCGTCATCAAGGACCCCGACGAGGTGGCTCGGCTCTGGGGTGTCCGCAAGTGCAAGCCCCAGATGAATTATGACAAGCTGAGCCGGGCCCTGCGGTGAGGAGGGCCAGAGGGCCCTGGGCAGAAGTGGACAGTCCCCACCTGTCGGAATGTTGGGGAGCCCCTGACTCATGGGAACAGGCTTTGGGTTTGACTCCTGGTACTGCCAAATTCTAGCTGTGGGACCTTGGGCAAGCCCAAAGCCTTCTCTGAGCCCATTTGTAATACAGGGGTGTCCTGAGGATGGAAACCGTGGGTGCAGCCTCTTGCCTGGCCCAGACCTGAGGGAAGAGATGGTCCCCACCCTCGGGAACTTGATTTCTCTCATGTGGCCTAGGGGTCATGGTAACCCTTTGTGAGTGGCACTTAAGCACATGCCAAAGTGTGGCATCCTGAGCTGGGTCCTGTGCCACTGCCCATGCCAACTGTATGTTTTTACACCCACAGCTATTATTATAACAAACGCATTCTGCACAAGACCAAGGGGAAACGGTTCACCTACAAGTTCAATTTCAACAAACTGGTGCTGGTTAATTACCCTTTCATCGATGTGGGCTTGGCTGGTGAGTTCAGGGGCTGCTGGTGGGCATGGCCTTGGAGGGAGGAGAGGGTTTATCTGTCTGTCCAGGCTAGGCCAGGGGCCTTGACACCGAGTCTTCCCTCTCTTGCCAGGGGGTGCTGTGCCCCAGAGTGCCCCACCAGTGCCGTCGGGTGGCAGCCACTTCCGCTTCCCTCCCTCAACGCCTTCCGAGGTGCTGTCCCCCACTGAGGACCCCCGGTCACCACCGGCCTGCTCTTCATCTTCATCCTCCCTCTTCTCGGCTGTGGTAGCCCGCCGCCTGGGCCGTGGCTCGGTCAGTGACTGTAGTGACGGCACATCAGAGCTAGAGGAGCCACTGGGAGAGGACCCCCGGGCCCGACCGCCTGGCCCTCCGGAGCTGGGTGCCTTCCGCGGCCCCCCACTAGCCCGCCTGCCCCATGACCCCAGTGTCTTCCGTGTCTACCCCCGGCCCCGGGGTGGTCCTGAGCCCCTCAGCCCCTTCCCTGTGTCACCCCTGGCCGGTCCTGGCTCCCTGCTGCCCCCTCAGCTCTCACCGGTACTGCCCATGACGCCCACCCACTTGGCCTACACACCCTCACCCACCCTGAGCCCTATGTATCCTGGTGGCGGCGGGGGCCCCAGCGGCTCAGGGGGAGGCTCCCACTTCTCCTTCAGCCCTGAGGACATGAAACGGTACCTGCAGGCCCACACCCAAAGTGTCTACAACTACCACCTCAGTCCCCGCGCCTTCCTGCACTACCCTGGGCTGGTGGTACCCCAGCCCCAGCGCCCTGACAAGTGCCCGCTGCCGCCCCTGGCACCCGAGACCCCACCGGTCCCCTCCTCGGCTTCGTCCACCTCTTCTTCCTCTTCCTCCCCGTTCAAGTTTAAGCTCCAGCCGCCCCCACTAGGACGCCGGCAGCGGGCAGCTGGGGAGAAGGCTCCGGCCGGCGCTGACAAGAGCAGTGGCGGCTCAGGCCGGCTGGGTGAGGGGGCGGGGGCATTGGCCCCACCACCGCCACCGCCACAGATCAAGGTGGAACCCATCTCAGAAGGCGAGTCGGAGGAGGTGGAGGTGACTGACATCAGTGACGAGGATGAGGAAGATGGGGAGGTGTTCAAGACACCCCGCGTCCCGCCTGCGCCCCCCAAGCCTGAGCCTGGCGAGGCGCCTGGGGCAGCCCAGTGCATGCCCCTCAAGCTGCGCTTTAAGCGGCGCTGGAGTGAAGACTGTCGCCTGGAGGGGGGTGGGGGCACCGCTGGTGGCCTGGAGGATGAGGGAGAGGACAAGAAGGTGCGTGGGGAGGGGCCCGGGGAGGCTGGGGGGCCCCTCACCCCAAGACTGGTGAGCTCCGACCTCCAGCATGCCACTGCCCAGCTCTCTCTGGAGCACCGTGATTCCTGAGGGCTGTGGGCCGGGGACTGTGTCCCCCCCATGCTTCTTTTGCTGCCTTAACCCCTGCCCCCCAATGCCCTGGAGGTGAGGGCAGCTCTAGTCTCTTCCCGCCTCCTTTCTCTCCCCTCCCCACATTTTGTATAAAACTTCCATTTTTTTTTTTTTTTAATGGTGGGGGTGGGTGGGTGCCCAGGGCTGTCTCCTGTCTCTGTGGGTTTGTAAGCTCTGGGCAAAGTGGTGGGAGGGAGGGAGGGAGAGGTTGGGGAGGTAAGGGGGCCACCTCCATTCCGGGGAATTTTTGTTTGAACCGGGGCTTTGGCCTCAACACCCAGGAACTTTTTTATTACAATCACTTAGGAAGTAAAGCCGTGTCTCCCTGTCCTCTGCCTCTCAAGCTTGTCCACTTTGCCCCCCAGCTGGTCCCGGCCCCAGTCCTGCCTTCCCTGCCCCTCCAGGGGCCATGAGTGCCTGGGTTTCTCATACCCCACAAGGTCGCAGCAGGGGAGGGAGGAACAATTTTATGATGAACCAAAAATTCCATGGGGGGGTGGTGGGAGGTGGACGAGGGTGTGGGGTACCACCCATGGGCCACAAATCTCTACAAGTGCCTGCTAGCCCTCTCCCACTCCCCACCCCAGCACCAGTCCAACCCCTTCACCCCCAGCTGCTCCTAGGACTGGCCCATGGGCAGGCGGGTTGGGGGTGGGTGGGAAGGGGGTGCCCTGAAACCAAACTGGAAACCCCCTCTGCCTCCCAGCTGGGGCCCTTGGGGTGGGGTGGGGGGCTGTGGTCAAGCCTTATTCTGTATTGGGGATGGAGTGGGGGTGGGGGGTAGGGCGGGGCTGCCGGAGAATGTATTCAAAACAATAAAACTTGGGACCTTTTTGATGTGGTGATCTGTCCTGGGTGCTGGGAGTAGGCACCACGGGCCGTAGCTTTGGTTTGCTTCTCAAAGACAGGCCTGGACTTCCCCACACATGCAGTGGATCTGTGGCCTGGTCTGAATGGGTCAAATCCAGGCCTGGAAAGTGACCTCCTGACCTCAGAAATCATTCAAGTCTCAGCAAACTGACCCTGTATCTGACTGCTGCTTTATTCCATGGGGACCTGCTGGTCCTGGAAAGTGCTTTAGACTCATTGCCGCCACCCTGTTGCTCTTGCTCTTCTGGTCACCTGAAATGGCCTTCCTCTCTGACTCTGAGTTTCCATACTCCCAGGTTCCTAGTGAGGGCCAGGGAGTGCTTTTGCACCGCCTCTAGCATCCTGCCCACATCTCTCTCCTTAGGGCACTTCTAAGCAAATCAGAATCCCTGGGAGACAAGTCCTGAAGTGCCTTGAAATGTAGACCTTACAAAGTACCTTAGTGATCTTTAGGTGAAACCGTGGGGAAATGCCCCCAACCAGCAAGTTGAGAAGGGACTGGGGACTGGTTCAATAACCACAGTTAACCATTCATTGACCTACTTTATGTCCAGCACCTAGCTAGGAGCTGCCGTGTTTTGTCTCCTTCAACACCCAACAAGGGAGGGGCATCCAGCTCAGTTAAATGACTTGCCCAAGGCCAAGTGGCTGTAGGAAGCAGAGCCAGGACTTCAAAATGAGATAGGTCTCCAAAGCCAGTGTTCTTTCAACAACTCGTTTCAGTTTTCCTCCTTGAAGCTAAGATAGTTGGCTCAAGATCAGGGACTCAGGATCACTGGATAAAGCTAGAAGCCAAGATTGGAGACCCCTGTAGGATCAGGGATGAAATAATCAGAAATCCAGACCAGAAGTTCCCTTAGAGACAAGCCCATCCCCTTCAGTGCAAGTGAGGTCCCTGAGGTTCAGAGATGGGAAGGGGTTTCTCCAAGGCCACATAATTCAGGGCTTAGGGTCTGATGGACTGGCTTCACTGTGAAACCGCACCCTGTGCAAGCCTGAGAGGGATGGAACATTGGGCAACTGCTACCCACTCCGTTAAACCTCATCTCCTGCCAGCCCAGGGTGGGTGGTCCCAGATAATGGTTGGTAGTGAAGAGGATCCAGGGATGGGGTACTGGCAGGAAACCCAGACTCGACTTATGGCGGCTTGTGGGCAACTGCTCCCTCTCCTGGGTGATGTAAGTCACTCCCTGGGGTGGGGGCCACTGGGAGCGGCTTCTCTAGGTTATTTCTGGAAGTTGGGCTGAGGCACGTCTCCTAGCAACAGAGATGCAGCTGAGAAGTTACTGGTGGTGGGTGATGGAGAAAGGGGGATGTCACTGGGGGAAGGGGAGTAGGACCCTTAGCCCCTGAAGAGTGCCTTCCAAACACTGCTAACCAATTCTAAAATGGATTAAAAAGTTTTCAGCTCCAGAACTGCTTCTTCCAGATTAGACTACGGTCCTACCAGCCTTCTTGTCCCTGATTCTAGATGAAGGGATGTCAGCTGGCATCTGGCCTTGACAACTCCAAGCGGCTCCTCCAATCTTTAATGACCCACCTAAATCCATTCACAGGCCTGAAATGCTAAATTCCTGCAAGACACCCTTGGTTCGCTCCATGTCCTCTGAAGTCTTTGGCTCCAAGTATTAAGTACTTTATAGATCTTTCATGATCCTTCACATATTCATTTACCCCATCAGAGACCTTCTTCATACCTATAGCCCCCAGCACCCCCAAAGACCCCTAAAGCACCTTCCTGATGCTTCTCAACCATCCTTCAACCCTTCAGGTTCCTCAGAGATCCCTCAGTCACCAGTAGTTTCTCAGTCTGCCTAAGACCTTTTACAGTCCTCTCAGACTTCTCTACTTGTCCCCAATAATTGTTCTCAGGTGCCTATAGCCCATCAAAGACTCCTTCATCTCTCCAGGGACTCCCCTCAAACCCTCCTGACACCCTTAGGCCCCTCAAAAACACAACGCATCCTAGCACCTATCTACGAACGTTCTCAGCCCCTAGAAACATCCTGACAGATTCCCTCAGACCATCACCCTCAGACTCCCAGGAGCCCCAATACCATCGGCGGCGGTTGCCCACGAGGAGCCCAATGCGTATGTTCTGGCCGTTAAGTAACCGCCGCTACCCTGCCCCGCTCTGCCCGCCTTGCTGGCCTTCTCTGTCCAGTCCAGTGTGTTCTCCAGGCCTTGGGGCTTGGTTCAGATTTTTACTTTTCGATCCCAAGCTGCCGTCAGAGGGCAGCAGGGGCCGCTTGGCTAAGAAACTACAACTCCCAGAAACACACGCTCCTAGCTGTGCGGGATGCAGCCTCCTGCGTTGAGAAAGAAACGGAACGTGTCCGTGTTTTGCTTTCTGGATAATGTAGTCCGAAAAGGTTTTAGCACTAAGGGCAATCTCGCCCTAGGGCTCTGTGTCCGCTGGGAATTACGGTTAGGAACACACCGAGTGGACGGGATTTTCTTTAGGCTTCAGAAAAAAGCAGAACAGTTAGTATGATGAACTCAGGCTTGGATTAGAGTGAAGCAGAGACTACATTTCCCACCATTCCAAGAGGTGGGAGGAGCCAAGGGCGCTTTCAGTCTAGTTTACGCACACAGACACACAGACACAGACACACAGACACACAGACACACAGACACACACACACACACAGGAACTCTATTTTCCAGCGTACTTTGAGGCTACTCTCCTTCCCATTAATCGATAAATGGGGCCACTCAATGGACACAAACCCTAGGCTACTCCTTGCAGCCGGCGTCACTGTTTCGGGCACTGGGAACACCAAACAAAACGCACTGCCGTCGAATCAATTCTGACTCATACCTACCCTATAGGACAGAGTAGAACTGCCCCATAGGGTTTCCAAGGCTGTAAATCTTTACGGAAACAGACTGCCACATCTTTCTGCCGCAGAGTAGCTGATGCGTTCCCAACCACTGACCTTTGGGTAGAAGGGGAAGGCTTAATCACTGCACCACCAGAGCTCCTTTGGGCCCTCCGGCATCCTGTAACTTAGGAAGCGGGAGGACGCAAAGAACTGAGTGGGGGTTAAAGACAAATTTTATTTTCATCTCTTTTAACGCTCGGCTCAGCCTCCTGGTGCGACTTATGTTAGAAACAGCTAGACTATATCCGGAGACTACGTTCTAAGAGACTGTTTCCCAAGTCCTTTGGAAGAGGGACGTTTTTCTTTTTCTCCTTGGTATAAGGACACCTGGAACTTAAGTGCTCGGACTCAGTTTTCCAACATCCCCCGATCGACTTTGGCACTTTCTTGGGTCCTGGGGGATAGAAAAGGAGGCATTGAAACACATTTCAGTATCTCAAGGGGACTGCCATCTGTTACCTTTCGCGCACGCTCTTACCGTAGTACTCATTGGACTCCATTTCCCGGCAAGCCTCTGCGGTCTCGTCTCACACAGAGGTCAGCATCCGGCCGGGACTATTCCCCAGCATGCTTCGAGCTCTTAGTGACAACCTTCCTCTCCTCCTCCCCACTCCTCCCGTCAATGGGAAGGCTACCTCGAACTTCAATTCCCAGAAGCCACCACTCCTCCTGTAGCAACTGCGCTGAAGCCTTGGTGTCGACTACATTTCCCGACAGGAAGTGCGGCCTAGCGTACGTAGGAGGGGGAGGTCGTTCCTACTCCATTTCGTAGCCTATCTCCGGAACTGCAGTATCCACTGAAGGGCTGAGGAACCACACAGGACTCCATTTCCCGGCGTGCTTTGGGAACTGCTTTACATCCGCAATGCGGTGAGGGCGTGGCGACGACTCCATTTCCCAGTTTGCCCCTGGTTCCATATCTGCGAGTCCACCGGCGCCGACTCAATTTCCCAGTGTGCACCTGGCGCCGGTATACACTGTTAATAGCAAGCGCGCTGCTGGATTCCATTTCCCGGCATGCATCAGGTTTACTAATTACACCTCTCACTGACGGAATGCCTGCGACTACGTTATTGAGGCACTTCTCGGGGCTCGCCTTTGCCGCAGTGTAATTACTGTGGGGGCTCTGATTCTAGTTCCCAAAATGCTTCAGGTTCCGCCGGCTGCAGTTCACGGATGGATTTCCCAGGACTTTATTTCCCAGCGTGCAGTGCGACCGGTCGTCCCTCCCGTCTGCTCTGAGGCCTTTGTGAACTCCATTTCCCGGCGTACCACGCGGCTCTCTATACGGGCCGAGGGCGGTGACAGCAACGCGCAAGGCAGGCGGACTGCATCTCCCGACGTGCCCCGCGGCGGGCGCTGGGCCGGAGCCCGAGCGGCGCGGCCTGGAGGAGGCCGGAGCCCTGAGGAGGCGGCGGCAGCAGCAGCGGCGGGGGC